CATTCTCTCTCTCTTCTTCTCCTCCTTCTCCTTCTTCCTCTCCTCCTGTGTCTTCTATTTTGTCAACAAGTTCCGAGGGTGGAAGTCGGCGGAGAAGCGAGAGGAGAAAGCAAGGCGGGTGGGTTCACAGTGTCAAACGTGCTGCTCGTATCGGGTGTCTCTAACTCGAAAGGCACGATCCCTCCCTGCTTAGGCTTCTCTCTCTTAAAGGGTTCACGATCTTTACATCATTCAAAAGACACAGCTCTGAAAGTGACAACTTTGGAGGTAACAGAAATGGTACGCCCATTTTTGTTAATTAAATATAAATTTACATTCACAGCAGACGCAAGAGAGATGGAGAGAAATGGGGATGTTAAAAAATTCTGGAAGTCTTCTTCTTTTATATGACATATCAGCTTATCATCTATATAAATAATTGTTCCTTCACCATAGAGTCATGAAAAAGGGGTGGGTGCACTACTTTCTTTATTTGAAACATGATTGATAATCATTTCCAAGCGAGACAATACTTCTTTTCATCTCTTTTTTTTAAATGAACCGTTGATGCTCCTTAATAATGTCCAATTGATCAACATCGCCCATGTTGAAGCAGACATATATTCATGATAGCTTATTGGCTTTGATATTCTTTTGGTGTTCCCTTCTTCTGCGAAGGTGTGGTGACATTTATAATTCATTTCTGGAACAATTATGCACTCTGTATTCTCGGTACCTCCTATAAAGCCTTGACAAGAAAAAATGTTGATAGGATGTTATGTTGGATTGGAATATGTAAATGAAAGAGAAAGGCAGAGGCGGAGAGATAAAGATATAGAGAGGGGCAGGGGAGAGAGAGAGAGAGAGAGAGAGAGGAGAGAGAGAGAGAGAGAGAGAGAGGGTGGAGAGACAATGTATCTTGAATGAACTTCATTGCTTTATCCCCAATCTCTCTCTGTCCCTCCTCCTCTTCTCCCTCTCCCACTCCACTTCAAACTATTACCTTCTATTACATCTCGTCTACTTATTTCGTTCTTCCTGCGTTATAAACTGCAAGAGGTACAACCCGTGTCATTGTACCGGAGTGACCCTGGCTAATTAACTTTCTTGCCCCGGAGAACAGGAGAAGGGGGAGCGGGCGGGTTAGGATCGAGCAGGGGTAGGGGCAGAAGAAAAGAACAAGATAATGGAAGGAAGGTAACATATACATGGTGAACAAAGACGGGGGAGAAGCACGTACGAGATGCCTACAGGGGGGCACCGTCAGTCACCCAGGCAGAGGTAAAGCCAGAGCGGAAGGTGGGTACGGGGTGAGGTACGCAGTTTCAAAGAGGAATAAAGTTGAGAGAGGCTGTACGAAGAAAAGAAAAAAGATCAAGGAGAGATACAATAGCTGAATGCAAAATAGAAGAGGGTATCTGCACTAATCACAAGAAAATGGGCAATTAAATTCCAAAGAAACTGTCCTAGAACATGCTAGATAATAGGGAAGATGAGCAAAAAAAGCAATTAAATGGGCTTAACAAAATATCGGGTGACGAGAAGAGGTGAACGAGCTGGCAAGAAGAAAAAAAAGGGCATCAAGAAATCAACTGAAGAGATTATGCCCTAGTCTGAACCGGGACATGTTTTACACGACAAAGAAAATTGCAACATTGTTCCGAGATGGATAGAAGATGATAACAGAAAGCAAGACACACAGGTGGAGTGAGGTCAACGGTCTAGATCCCGACTCACATTGCTCTTCCTAGATGACAGGGGTGTTCTTTATGGAGCAAAATTACTCCAGCGATTATTCACCTTTTTCACTTAAAGCCCGAAGCACAGTGCACGCCTGCAGAATCACTCATTGACGGGGAGCCCCTGATGATTTTCTTCCTCTTTTTTTTTTTAAAACCATCCTTGCTCCTCTTGTACCTAATGAAATCAAGCGGGAGCCCAGCAGACACAAACAGCATTTGGCTTATCATCCAGAGCTAGCACATTCTCCGGATCGGGACTGATGAGTTAAAAGCAAGAGCAGTTCCACACGCAAACCCTCTGAATTACAACGCCAGAATGGCTGCCATACCGGAGAGTTATGGCTGATTTCAAAGGCCTCTTAACAGGGGGTTATGACATCATGACATCTCGTATCAGGTCAACACCAAGTATGTTGGCCTCTTATTTATTCTTAGCGCCTTACTGTTAGCAACATATTAGATCACAGGACAGTGCTTTACTTGTACAGTGTACAGGATCTAAGAAACTATTTCCTACATCATCTTTTTCCTAATCTTTCAATTTAATCTTTTCTTGAAGGAAAACAAATGTATCACAAAGACAAGAATGTAGTGTCTAAAAAAAACGCTGAAAGTCTGAGTTTGCCAATTTCGCACTAAAACATTTTTCTTACAGAATTGACATATGCTTTCAACATAAGTGTCAGCAAACTTGCACTTTAATAGCTGGTTTCATGAGACATTTCCCTAATTGACGGACCTTTATGACTTAATTTCTTTATATGAGGAGGAGGAGAAGAGAGAGAGAGAGAGAGAGAGTGGGTGATCTCTTGAACTATCCACCACAATGAGGCCTGCAATCTAGAGTTGCCATCAAAATGACATCAAGGTCGTGACCCCTCTACACTTTCAGCATAAAGTAACACCTCATCCTACCAAAGACGGTCCTTCTAGATACAGTTGCACTTTTGGCAAAAGATATGAGCCATCTGGATTATTCACCATCTTTCAATGGACAAATGTACATTGAAGCTATTCATCAATGCCATCTATGTCATCAAAAATTCACTAAAACAGCAGATGTGGTGAGGTCTTTTTGTTACTTGGGCACAATGCAAAGTCCGTCAGCCATGGGTTTGACCAAGTACTTGCTTCTGTTCTAAGGCCACTGGTCACTCATGGTCAGTGACTGAAGCACAAAGGGAGCATGTGGTCAGTTGGTCCGATCACCTGGACATGCATAGCCCGAGATGACCTGGGGGGCCAACGCATGAGGTCATTTCAGGACACAGGGGTTGAACAGACTTTGAATGTCCAGCTAATGGTCAACCAGAAAGCTGGGTATTCAGCAAGGATGACCACAGCATCTCTGTAAATTATCCGGCTTGTAGGAAAGCTGCAATAAAATAACCTGGCTCCATTTAGCTAATGGGATTCATTTTAAGAAAAAGCAAATTACCTACATATGACCACGTATAAAACATTACAAGACATAACAAAAGCTTATCAAAGAAGGAATATCACAAGCAAATAATACACAGTTCAGTGTGATTTGATTATCATTATTTACAACCACAGACCCCAAGAACGCCAAAAAAATACATGTAGCTCCCAAACTGTTCCTTCTCAGATCAAGAAAATAGCCTTCCAAAAAAAAATACTTTGAAGACTGTTAATAAACTATTAATAATATAGGGCGATAACACCTGAATCAAACTCTATACATTATATGTACATTATGTTCCATAATAACACCTGTCTCCAAAGTATAATCTCCACCAAGCTTTATAATCTTGGCATTGACAGGCACAAAACAATATTCAATGCTCAAACAAGTTTGTCAACAATGAGGTTTGCTTTCATGTCCGAACTCAATAAGGGGAAACCCCCTCGTGATTTTCCCCGACATGTGGCAGTCAACATTACGTCTTTCATTGTTTCCATAACACCTTTTGATGCACTGTGGGGCACCTGTAAATACGTAACGCCATGATTCCGAGAAGACCTAATCAGTCAGCCCGGATATGAAGAAGAATGCCCCGCTTTTCTTTATTTAAAAAATAGAGCAAAACGCGAACAAATAGAATGGTTAGTGGTTACTATTAAGCAGGTTGACAAAGGGAATAGATTTCTGACAGTATATATTACAAAATAATCTGAGGAATAGACAACTTTACAAAAATGACATAGCAATTTCTCGAGTAGAGGGACTCTGACCCTATGCTGATCCCACCTTAGCCCTTTGAACTTAGAAGTTCTTAAACAACACTTTTATGTAACTCCCTTACCCCTCCCCTCCCCAACACATCATATAACAAACCGGATCGAAACCCGCCCAAGACAAACACCTACAGACATATCCCCCCAAAAGTAGGTATCAGTCACATAACACACCCAAAGACTGTATGTATACAGTAGCATGTACATGTACAGTTATTACTACAACACAATATCAAAGTCCATGTAGATAGCTGTCTGGTATCCTTTATTTACTTAGTGTCTAGCCTGTTGGCATTCTCTGGACAAGAGAGGGGGCTATACCGATTGGACACTGCAGACTGAAAGAGCAAGCAGGTTCTCGTCTGTTGCACTGCTCATAGAAATCATTTCCATCTCACTTTGGCAGGGCCCTGTCAGTTTTGTTCCAGTCACTGGATTTCTATAAAAACATGTTTTTTTTTCTTTTCTAAATGCATCTAGGAAATATTGAGACTTTCAATTCTTTTAAATGATTTTTTTTTAATGAACTGCACTCCTAGTCCCAGATGTACAGGTACCCACCCTCCCCCAGTGACCAAAGTACGATGTACCTACACATATCTTCTAAGGCAAATACCGAGATTTGTCATCCATGTAATTTCAATGAAACGGGCAATCGACCTAATTCCTTCGCTTTGATCAATGTTTGCTGAATAATAATAATAATAATAATAATAATATTTAATTTTCATATAGCGCTTAATACAAATGTCTCTAAGCGCTTTACAAATATACTATTACCCCGGTCATTGTATTTAGTGCTTGCCCGCACACACTATGTGCACAATCTCCACTCCCTGGGGAGCATTCCAGCCGGGCGTTACTTGTTGAAATACATCAGATTGCCTGTTGAGAGCCAGAAGGGCATTTACACTGTGTCATCTGCCCTTTTGGCCCTTCTGGCGCTATTGGACAAGATGAGCAATGCCCCCCCCCCCTAAAAAAACCCCATTCATTTTAAGGAATTAATCCTCATTACCAGGTTCCTCAGAGAGGACCTAAAGCCGTCGGCCGTCTGGTTGCTTACTTAAAAGCATTTATGCTTTCTTAGCAGTCAGGTAAAATAACCACCACCACCATATGACATTTTACATTCATGCTAATTTCACATTATCCATGTAATCTAATCCTGATTGATTCCCGATCTTGAATGCAATATGGCGGGTGGTAAAGCAATCCTCCCGTGACCGTTTGTTTTGTAATCCATACCCATCGATAAAAATCTCAGACTTCCACGAGACAAACGTATGTCTCGTTACTCGGATGCATCGCGTGAAGACAGACAGACAGACGTGACGCAGGGAAACAAACAGTATCAGAGGAAAATCTGTTGTTGTGAAATGATTACCGGTAGATCCATATCCCCGGCGGCAATTCAAGAATCTACCCACGTAGAAGATACCCAGTATCGCCGTAATGCTGCTTCGAACATGATTATTATGGATCGTATTTCCACTTGAGAAATGCCTAATCCTCAAATTTAGCTTGGAAGATTAATGTGTATAAATAGAAAATGCTGCAATTTCATCAAAACAGCTAGATGGAGAAGTAGGTTTCATAGACAAGAGTCACCGAACGTTCCCAAATTGCGTCTTCAGATGTTTACTATGTGAAAATTCAAAGCAGCTAATTCAGGAATCAGACATTTTTCAAATGAAAATAAGCTTTAAAATCCTTCAATTAGCGACACGTTGACAGGTTCAAAATCATTGTTTTTTAATCCAAATTTTCCAAGATTTGAACCTTTCAACAAAGTTCGTACTCATGTGAGTTGCTTTCAAAGACATTACATTTTATCCAAATAATGTAGCACTTAACGAAAAATGTTGGTGCCAATTTGAAGTACAGCATGTGATCAAATTTTAAAGGATTTAAAGGGATTTAAAAACTCACCATCTGGCACCTCCAAATGACTGTTCTGTGACTCGTTCTGAGGTTGCAACGTGAAAGAAGCATTCATTGACTCGCTGAGCTTTTGCACCAAAGGGCATGCTATACAAGAAGATGGACCTGCAGAGTGGCAGAAGAAAAATAAAACGAAAAACAGTTATGAAACCACGATCTAGGTTCAAAAGCAGAACAAGATTGCATAGACTTTCAAGAAAACAACTGGAGGGGCAATTTCAATACTCTATTGTATATATCTCATAGAAATCATGTTTCGGATGACGTAATATGCCATTGTAGTATTTTCACGTGGCAAAGGCTGTTAATTTTTTAAAGTCTTCGCAATCACATTTGCAGATGTAAGGAAATGGATAAGTTCACAAAACGAAGGAAACTGTGCGTGACCATGTTTGTCAGATGGTCGCACGATACCTGCTCCGGCAAAAATTGCTTCACCGTACTTTTGTACACTGACCAATTTCCTAACTGTTTGGTCCAGTATTGAACTAAACAATGTTCAGTTTCAGAAGCTGACTGCGGAGCAATTGTCGCTGGAGTATACATTCTAGGTAAAAGACAGAAAACGTTTTTCATACTGATAGCCTTCGACAACATCTAGGCCATCTTGTCCATCCCCAATGCCATAAAATCAAAGTATACCTGTCAGACAAATAGGCCTTTTGAGGATATATGCTCTAGATAGTGATGGTCTTGGGTCATTTAAATTCATGAACTTGGAGGGACATCTAATGGAGTATGTTTAGTCTAGAAAGTGAGAGAGGGAGGGAAGGAGGGAGGGAGGGAGGGAGGGAGGGAGGGAGGGAGGGAGGGAGGGAGGGAGGGAGGGAGGGAGGGAGGGAGGGAGGGAGAGAGGGAGGGAGGGAGAGAGGGAGAGAGTAAGAGAGAAGATTAGGAATGTCCCTTCACTGGCTTCTATGTTTCTTCTTTCTTTTGCTCTCTCAATAATTTGTATCCGTCTTTCTCACTATGCTCCTTTTTTTTTGCAACAATAATAAGATGTTTACTGAGAAAATATTCACACAGCAATTAAAATCATAGAGCAAGATGGCAAATATTGAAATAGATGTGATTTATTTAATCAGCACATACCAGCTTCGCATTTGCAACACTTGACACATACACCTCTGTACCCACATAACAATAAAGATTCTACCCCGAATCTTCAAACAGAACACCTTCTACTTTAAATTACGTGTCCTTGTCTTAATAATCGATCCCTACAGGTGCCTCCTGGCGACCAATGTATACACATATAGGCCTACATGCTGCCGACGGGTGATTCGTCAACCGAACTATTCAGCAGCAGCGATAGCGGCTTGGGTCTACCCCAGGCTGCCCTCTTTATCAAGCACACAGAACACACACCAGTCCCATGTATCATGGCACTGCCACAGGAAATTTCCATGGATTTTAATAACTTTGCTTTCCATCAAGCTACATCTTGTCTAGACAGGCTACGCATAATCACCAATTTTTCCCCTCCAATACCGGTTAGTCTTCGTGGAGCAACCCCCCCCCCCCCCCCCCTCTCTCTCTCTCTCGCTCATTTCACTCGGCTCGCACTACTGCACTTAGTCAATGAGTCTACGTGAAGATGTGCTTGGGATGATATTATTAGGGACTTTTAGATTTGCACGTCGACATAGTGGACTGCTACGTGTGACGTCCTTTAAAGGGATCGTTTAACAATGTTAAATCTGAGATGCATGCCCCTACCTGTTATCAGTGTCTGTGATATGGTGTTATAGTGAAGCCCTAAAAAAATTGCGCTTCAAAATGATCAAGAAGTGCCTCAAAAAAGTAAAAACCTTTGAGTGACCGGTTTTACCATACTCGCTTTCCCCAATAGACTGTAGTGTTATGAAAACCAATTGGCAAACCAAAATTTGGTTTCGATTTCCAATCATACAAATCTTGATAATCAAGACAGGCGATCGGCTTGTAAAAGTCATGGGGGGTTCCTGACTGACCTAAAGGTTTATAATTATGATTGCAGCATGAGCTAAATCCAGGATTTTGTTTCAGAATCTGAGACAAAGTTACCGGATCCCTTTAAGTGGGGGTGTTTGCATGCAAGCGAGCATCTCAGTAAAGAAACCCTTAAACCACAATACAGAAAGTATCTGAACTGCAGAAGAAACTTTTCGATACCACTCAACGCCGTCCGACGAAACATAGAGGAAGCTAAAATCATTCCAAAGTGGGGATGTTAAGCTTGTCTAGTCTGCTTTAAATAGAGGCATATGCAAGAAGGAACGGGGGAGGGGGCAGGTGGGGGGCTTTATATATACTTCCTTCCCCTACTTACGAGGAGACAATACAAGAGATATCCGTGCTCATCATGCTCTTGAAATCTTGTATCTACAAACACTGTTACCCTGCATTAAAAATAGCAAAATGTTTGCAGACAGTGGCTCCCTAGGCCTGTAAATTTTATCAATGTATCCAGGGACCATCTAAATGAACGTAGAACATAAAATCGTCTCTTCTTCAGCTATTCAACTCTGATGAGATACACACAGAATTGTACACACAAATATTATGCTCATCCTCTCCCCTAGTACATGAATACTCTTGCTCCTGTCTTCTTTCTCTGTCTTTCTCTCTCTCTCTCCGTCTTTCTGTGGCTCTCCTTCATTCACTTGTTCCTGAAGTCTACACCATTAGTTTAATCTGTACATCAATTTATTTATCTGTCTGTGTCTACTGTCTGCCTACCCCCCCCCCCCCCCTTCCCCCCTCCCTCTCTCTCTCTCTCTCTCTCTCTCTCTCTCTCTCCAATTAAAAAAAAAGAAAAATACCAGTAGAGGGCTGCTTGTCACAGTTGTCTCACTGAACACACACAACAATTTACCATTTACACTCAAGACGTGATTCATTCGAAAAAAGAATAAAATTGTGATCCTGAGCGAAGTGATCTTTCCCCATTAATTTAATAAATCATGGAAATCCCACTTCTACATGAATTACAAGGGCTCCTATGAACAAAAAGCCTTTTCGTACACCGAAACTGTCGCAAACTGACAATGACAAACACAAAATGGCAATTCTGTCATTTTCCTATGAGCAAATATCCCATTTTTTATTACTAAAAATTCCATTATTTTCCCATTTTTGTTTGTTTGATGATGAAGAAACAGGTTTATTAATTGTCTAATTTTGATCTTTAGTACGAGACAATAACATTTTTCTTCTTAGATATTATACAACAATACAAATGGAAAAGGAGCTTGATGCCAGAGCGGGCTTTCCCCTATAACTGGAGAAATGGGTGCTCATTAGCAAAGTAGCCTTTAAAAAGAAATCAAGCTATTTCGACAGATATAGTCGCATCTTGCATCATCACTAAAAAAGAGCGGGCTTTCCCCTTTAACCGGAAAAATGGATGCTCTGTAGGGAAGCAACCTTCAAGATAGACATCAATATATCACTACATTATTGAGCATTCATTAGAGAAAAGCTAGCCTAACAAATACAATGTACTCGGATCTTGCAGCATCTCTTCCACACCGTGAATCTATGAATAAAAATGGCACGCTAAATTCAATTTTCCCAGGCCAAGACGGCGGGCGGCGAGTACGGCAGTCCCACCTCAACACTTTATCGTGATCCTCGTTACCACGCACATTCCCGACAGCAATGAGGAGTGAAGAGTTAGAATTGGTGATCTTTCTCATTAATAATTCATGGTCGAAAATGAGTCAAGTCTAGAGTCAAGTCTAGAGAGACGTGAGATCGAGCAATTTGGGGTCATAACATATTCAGTAGAGTTTTTCGGCAGGGGTCTATACCGTTCCTTAATTTGGCTCGCTACTTGTTGGTATTGCTGCATTTTTCAACCAATATTATAGCCCCACTGCACTACTAATAGCTACGTGCGCCCTCTATATAGCAAACAATGCCTAATCAGGGCCCGTTGGTCCCCCATGATCCCCTTTTTCTTCTGTTAATTGAGAGCTGATTTCGTCGGCCGGGTGGCAGAAGGGCTTTAGCGCGCGAGCGACTCGAAAACTACTTTTCGAATTAATCACATTTAACGATTTGTATTATATTTAAACTGCTTTCCATCCCGAAAATTGGTTAAAAACATAAAAGACTACCGGTGATAGAAATGTTGTAGTAGAACACGGCGACAATTTTTTTCTCGGAAATAAGTCAGTTTTATAAAAGTTTGAGGCGATTTAGTGCTAACGCCCTTCTGCTTAAAGTTACATTATTGACCTGAAATTCGAGCTAACGCCCTTCTGCCAGCCAGGGGACGATTTGATGAGATAACCACCCATCAGTGACCTTGCAGGGAGGTCTAATCTCCCCTGGCCAAACTAGTGCACACAGGCTTTAAAGGTAAACGCACAGCTTCAAAGTGAAATATTTACAAAAATCAAAACTTGTAAGTTGTTTATTTCTAAATGGAATACCATTCTTGATACCTTGATCATATATTCATAACAGGTCATTCGAAGAACTCCGGAACGTATTAAATACGCAGTTTACAAGTTCACTGTAAAATCTATAAAAATATGTAATTTTTCAATAGTGTGAATAAGCCTGTTTTGCAAAGCGTTCATTGTGTTGTAACTTGTCATCACATTCTCACTGTAGAAGAAAGCAGAAGAAAAGGAATAGACAAGTATCAGGTACTGGGAAACCCTTTTATCCTAAAATTAATTCATTTCCCATTTCAGGATATGACGCAATAAAGAATAAGTGTGGAGGACGGTATTAAATATGGAAATAGAGATTAATAATTACTTTCCCTTGCATTCTCATCGACATTCAGATAATGATTACATGTTTTCTTCATAGAGTATCCAGGGTATAGAACAGCCAAAGCCATCAGAAAGAGAAAAAAAAGAGGAAGAAACAAGTGATATTCTATAAAAAGATTGCATACGTAATGTGATGTAACGTTCGACGTTGAACGAGGTAAGAGCGGGGAGGTTAGACAAGGTATTCTGTATGCAAACGAGACAGAAAGCGCTCCCCTACAGCAGTCATGAAGAACCATGTCTAGACACTGGACTCCAATTTACATATTATTACGTTTCTCGTTTCTCGTCCCCCCAGTTCCCCCTTCTTTGGGGCTTCTTTCTACTTCTTCT